CTCGCGCAATGAGAAAACAAAAGTGAGTAGTCGAGAAAGAAAGAGCGGCGAACTCGCGAGCTCGCCGAACATCATTCCTCTCGCTATACTAAAGCGCCAAGGTATAAGAAGGATAAGCGTAGGGCGAAAGTTTTCGCAGTCTTGCGAAGCTTGGGAAATGGATTTCCCGCGCGGAAACTTATAGCCTTCGGAAGAGAGAGAGAAAGACTAACCCTCCTTGCTTCAAAAACAGACACGTCACACCGGTGTACGCGCATCTCTCGAGACGACACAGCCAAGGCAATACTAGAAACGGCAGCGGCAGAACGACTCTTTAAATTTTTACGCTCCGTTCGCTCCTTCAAATATACATATATTTTTTTTCTCTTCAAGCCCGCAATTCGATTGCTCTCTTTGGACTTTTTATCTCCGAGATGGAAGCACATCTGTATATCTTATTTGTACATCGGAGCAAACGAAGAAGGGCCAGTTACTCTTTGTACTTACGGCTCAATCTGCTCCATAGAGTTTGGAATTTTACTCTAATGAACTAAGATGCTCGAGCTTGTCAGTTTTCAATTTTATTCACCAAAAATGATATTCACAAAACTCTGTAAAATCAAATACCTTCAAAGACAAAATTTCTCAAAAGTAATATTTGAAAAATATTTAATAATTTTTCAGTGACGTCGTCAAGTTCAATATGCGTAAAAATCTAACATGGAAAAGTACGATTGAATACTTTACGAGCAGTCGAATAATAATTATTTCACGAGGGAAATTTTCTGAAGCTTTAATCATTCAAATGTATCGACACCCACCGATATACATAGATGTAAAAGACTGCTGTGTGGAAATACGATTCGTTTACCGAAGTTAAATTGATACATAGTTGCGTCGTCGTCTTGTTCGTTGTCAGCGACGATTTCCAAGTCCGTCTCGATCGGCCGTGCACTGTATCTCGCTTCTTATACCTATACACGCCTTTACTTAAACATATACATGGGGAATTTAAACCTTTAGGTATACGTTTACTTACAAGTTTACTACAGATTGAAGCTCATTAATTGGGCAAAATGCGCTCGTGTATTTATGGTCGCTGACTCATTAAAAGTAAAATTCCTTACATCGTTACTCGGTGTGTATACAAGTCGTGTATGTATCTTCGGAAAGCTTCGGAAAATAAACTCTCTGGACTTATCTCTCTCTCTCTCCTGCTACCTTTTCCTTTCACTCTTTGCAGCTTATACGTTGTGCTTTTTCGTTCACTGTGCAGCCGCAAGACTTTTGATGCGGTGGCTCTCTCGAACGGTGACAGTCGAACTTTTTTACCCATCGACGAAAAAAAACTCACACACGCTCGCTGTACACAAGTTTGAGAAGTAAAGTATCCTTAAGCCCGATGCTAACCGTTGAAGAAAGCTCGGCTACAAAGTTTCGTCGGCGGGGGGTCAGGACTCTAATTAAGCGAGTTTGCTCGAGAATCGCCTGGCAGGCAGTTCCTCGAGGGCGCGAATCGAGAAGTGGTCAGTGGTGCTATAGCATGGCCAGTAGTGCTAGTCGGCTGTATTAGTAACGGACGTCGACTAGTTGGTCGGATCAAACGATACCGACTGGCTGCCGAGAGTCGCCCGAGAAGTCGTCGGAGTCAAAGGGCTCTGTGGTTACAATTGCTCTCTGTATCTGGCCCCGTCGCTTGGAATTCCTGATGATGCTGGTTTCTTGAGAGTAGATACATATGTAGCGCCGTGGAAGCTGCGAGTCAGGGAGCGAGGACACTCCACTCAAGATAATGCTGAACGAGAGTATGCGCACGAGTGTACTAAAACCATGTGCGAGAGAGGGAAAGATGTCGTCGGGGCTTTAAAGAGCGACGACGAAAGCTTCTGTCTTCTTATACTCCAACTCCTCGTCTCGAGTTTTCAGTCATTTTGATGATTGATGTACCCTGACTTTAGAACCCGTAAAACTCAAGGGATACCAGAGGGACGTAATATTAATACATATTTCACTTGAAATTATTTAAGTTTTTTTTAATTTTCGGTAGTTCAATAATAATAACAAATTAGATAGACAGTATGAGAGCATCACAAATCTGTACATAATTTAATCATAACATTCGATCGATGACTGAATAAATTTTGAAAATACCCATATCTACAATGGTTGAAAAGCTCCATTTTCGTTAATTATACAGCTTCAACGCAGAAAAAAATGTAATGAGATGATACGAAAACATGGCCAATTGACGCTACGCCATATGTATGTAATAAGTAAGTTTTCCTGAAAAATGTCTCGTCTCTTGGTGCATGTGGAAGTTGAGCGTGCTCGCGTATACGTAACGCATTATAACGAAGCTAGTGAGCGAGCGAGCGAGAGAGAGCCTCATCAAGTTGGAAAATTTGTAGTGTACCGTCTCAGGCGATGCCTTAATGGCACTCAATTTCCATAATTACGAGGTCCTCCTTCGAGAGAGGGAAAGCAAGAGAGAATAGAGAATCTCTATATAGAAACACAGCGGCAGTGGGTACCGCAAAGCCGCACGACCAGCTTGTACACGACGTACACGAAGAGAGAGAGAGCATACATAGGAGAGGCAGCTACGCACGATACCTTTCGAAGCTGCAGAAGCGAGAAAGCAAGTGCGAGAGGCATCGATCGCGTTTCCGAATAATATACTTTTCAACCCATATTGTTTACAATTTTATAAAAAATATCCACTGTAATGTGTCGCTTACATATAATTTTTATCGTAATCTTTAGATGAACATTATCAGTTATTACTTTTTTTGCTCATAATTATATATTAGTTAAGGTAAAGGTTGAGTAAGACTGATAAGATTTCAGAGTGATATTTTCACAGATCTTACTACCTCCGTGCAAAAGCGAGTCACTTTTACTAAAGTACATAAAGCTTTTCCCGTTCATGGTGCAGAAGATCGAATTTTGTAACTTCAGCTGTGGTTAGTGAAAGTTAGAAGTCACTATTAGCTGTGAGTCATACCAAAATACTGGGTCTCATACCAAAATATCTTAAGTTTATAACTTGCGCGTGGCGAGTATAATATATCTGTACAAAGGCAAAATAGCTGCTGCATTCATTTCTCTTGCTGCTATGTGCAAATCAGCAATCATCTGCGTGTGTCTTCTCTCTTCCTCTTAACAATAGATTGTTCGACTTGGCTTTTACCATAAATATTGTCTTTGAGCCTAGTGTATTACAAACGCGTAGAATAATTCGCGGAACAACGCGAGCTGCAGGTGCGGATGCATGGGAAGCTGGGGGCCGGATAATTCTCTAATTCATAATTCGCTTGCATGCGCGACATTGCATAAGCTGTAAATATTATACAGTCTATTGAGGAAACAGCAGCAGCAACGAGTTGTTCTGGTAGTTTGCCAACGAAACTATGTAGGTACGGCAGGAATGAATCTCTTACTCCTACTCTAGCTTTGGTCTTCGGCTGTAGCGCTAGATATGACTATATATCTGTGAAGCTAGTGCCGCGAGAGTATGAGGGGCCAGAGACTGGCATGAGAGCAAAGGACGTTATTGCTACTAGTGCGCTGGCCTGTTATCTCGAACTCTAATTAGCGTCATTTTCCATAGCAAAACAAACCTCGGCGGATGAATGGCTTCATTAGTTTTGCCTGCTGCTGCGTACTGCAATCGCAGCTATCTTGCTATATTGCAAAGCTGTGTGATCGCTACCGACCTCGTCACCATTGCTGTCATGGGATCGGTGGGTCTCCTTTTTTGTACAATATAACCCTTCTTCGTGATATAAGATAGTTCTATTCTGTTCTAATACAAACAATATTGTTTTAGTTTTACTCAAATGAAACTATTCTTCATTTTTTTATCATAAGCATGCAATATAAAATATTTTCAGTAATACTCTGGAATTTTAAAGAAATCGGGTTATAAAACTTTTTAAGATGAGCAAAAATAGTTTATTATGTGACAAGTGCGTGAAAACAAATGTCTCATCCAGAAGTCATTTGGTGAACACGCCTACATGAGTCCACTTCCTAGTCCATCAGTTAAATATGATATGTTTTAACAACACAAGGTCAATGGAACAGAATTTTCATAGACGGTCAAAGTTAGAAAATTCGACTTTCTCGCATGAAGGGTTAAAAAAGTAGTAGTATATTATTAGACGTCGATTATTTACGTAGCATCCAACATACATCCACCGTCACCCAATAGATAATATTTTAATTACTCTATGTCACCCACGTTCTCACCGGTGAGTGCAGCTGAGATGTAATGCAATTAGTGTACCATACTAAAGGCGGTCGACCATCTAATCGTTAATATCACCAACATGAGTATTCAATTCCTCGTTGCAACCTCCTTGAATATCGGGAAATTTGAAACATTAAAACTCTAAGAACAAGATGTTTCAATTTTTTTGAAAACTACAAAAATGAAGAAGAAAAGAATTCATATTATAAAGAATTTCCGAAGAAAAAAACGAATAGAAGTTCCATGAATTGATAACGTAACCCATTTAAGAATAATTCAAGAATTGAGATAACAAAATATATTTATAATTTCTTATGTAACAAGTCTTCCTCCTCACGCACTAGATGTATACCATATTTTTTAATATTCCGTGCGAAAAACGTTTTGTTGTCGACGTTTGAGCTGAGTGTATCGAATTATCTTGAGCCTGCTGTTGCGCGTCGTGACTTCAGGCAGCTCGACCCACTGCGTTTCAATGCTGAATTGGGCTCGATTGACTCGATTTGGACGATATGGTCGAGACTCTTACTGATCGGCTGAATGGGTTGTTTGACGCGCACGCTCCCCTTCGGACGATCGTGCAAAAGAAGTGCGGTAAGCCTTGGTTAGGCGCTAGCCTTAAAGCCATCATCAGAGAGCGTAACCGGGCCTGGCGACGCTATTGGCGTCTTGGCCGTCCTGACGACTTGATTGAGTCTAAGCGTCTGCGAAATCATCTGCGTATAGCTGCCCGTAACGCGAAGGCGGCCTACTATCGCGCCAGACTCACCGGATGCGCTCCTGCACGGGCCTGGAGGATTCTCCGCAGTCTCAGCGTGAGTTCTTGCACTCAGGACTCCTTTATGCTGCTGGTGGAAGTGGACACGCTGAACGAGGGCTTCGTGCGTGGTGGTAGTCATGTTACTGCGTCTGTTCTTCATCCCACTGTAAGGGTGGCATCTGAGGTGCTTTGCGCAGGACCAAAAAAGGTGGTCTCCATGATCTTAGTTGCATTCACACCCAGGAGATGAAGAGAGATTTTTTCTAAAGCTAAGTTATAGTGGTTGCTGCGTATACGACAATAAAGAGTAAGTTGTTTTCTTGTGAGAGTAGATGAGATATCATTGAACCAGGTTCTTTGTGAGTTATTATGGAAATTATTACAATAGTAGATACCTTTATCAGTTTCCGTGTTGGAAAAAAGTCGTTCAAATGAGTTGTTGATAGCTGTTTACGAGTAGGTAGAAAATTCGAGTGTGGTAGTAAGTGAGGGGGGTAAAGTGCCAGATTTAATAGCTTGCTTGGCAAGGCTATCCACTTTCTCATTTCCTGGAATGTTTAGGTGGCTGGGGATCCATGTAAGAATGACTTGCTGATTTTTTCAATGGAGTTCATGCAGAAGGGTTTTGATACGAAATGTGTAGAAATGGTTTGTTCCAAGGAAAACTGAGGTACTAATAGTCAGTAAAAACTATTGCGTGAGAGGTGTTTTTGTGTAAAATTAATTCTAAAGTTAGTTGAATTGCCAGTGCTTACAGCGTTTCGTCTGTAATGCTTTGCAAGAGATCCTGATTACAATTTTTTCGCAAATTCTGGCCAAGCATCTTTTATATATTTGGGTCAGATTCAGAATTATAGATGTCCATTTTCTATCTATATTTTTTCTGAAGGCCTGAAGCACTCGAAAAATCCGAAAAAAATTCAAGATTGTTCGGATTGTTGAAAAGTACCTTCATGAATTTTTTCAGATTTTTCGATTGTTTCAGGCCTTCAGAAAAAATATAGATAGAAAATGGACGTCTATAGGGGTGGAGGAGGGTAGGAAGGGGGGAGGGGGTCCAAAATGTTGGTTTTGGCACTTTTTTATTATGTACTATAACATACCAAAATTTCAGGAAAATCCGTGAACCACGCCCGCAGGTTTATTTGAAAAATTCTGAATCTAACCCATATATTTCTTTATTTCAGCCAATTATTAGGCCCAGAAATGGACTTTACATTATTTTAAATTATATTACAAGCATATTTACATAACAAACATTACTTAATCCTAAATAAAATCAAACCTTAATATTACCAACACACTTTTACCAATTTTATCCTTCACGCAATATCTTTCACTTCATATACACAACATCCTTATATCTATTGGTCATATCAGAAATGAGTTGATAGGTCCAAAAATGGCCTATCAACTAAATGCATTTCTTATAAGTACATGAAAAAACCAAACTTTTCATGTGTTTAAAAAGTGCCATGGTTCCTTCCTTCAAAATCTACAGCTGCTCAAAGTTAGAATCTGAAAACTAACTTTTTTCTCCATAGGCCCAATGTAGCTCTGAAAAATAAATCAAACATAGTATTTTTATGTATTTTTTGATTAAAAATTCAATGGTGATATGTAAAAAGTGATTCAGATACTCTTACACCATTAAAAATCAAAAAAATGCATTTTAGGCCCAAAATAGATGTGTTCGTCCTCTTGGATTTGCCTGAAATTAGTAGAGTATCATAACAACATCAAATTAAAGCCCTCTACCAAGTGGCATTATCGGTTGGCCAATATCAAGGAAGATATACTATGAAATGTGGCTATCATTCACTTTTACATCATGATAGACTGAATGTCGACTATCAATACTGCCTAGAGCAATGAACTGCATTAAAAGCAAGCTAGAAACACTAATTTATTTTTTTAAAGTTCAATCACAAGTACTTTCTGCACAGAGTTCATATTTAATACCACTGTGTATGAAACAAACAACTTATTCATATGTAATCAATTAATAACTTCATTTATGCTAGATAAGTAATACTAGTATGCACTGTTTGGATTAAATATTACTTTAGCGTTTGTTTCATACACAGTGGTATTAAATATGAACTCTGTGCAGAAAGTACTTGTGATTGAACTTTAAAAAAATAAATTAGTGTTTCTAGCTTGCTTTTAATGCAGTTCATTGCTCTAGGCAGTATTGATAGTCGACATTCAGTCTATCATGATGTAAAAGTGAATGATAGCCACATTTCATAGTATATCTTCCTTGATATTGGCCAACCGATAATGCCACTTGGTAGAGGGCTTTAATTTGATGTTGTTATGATACTCTACTAATTTCAGGCAAATCCAAGAGGACGAACACATCTATTTTGGGCCTAAAATGCATTTTTTTGATTTTTAATGGTGTAAGAGTATCTGAATCACTTTTTACATATCACCATTGAATTTTTAATCAAAAAATACATAAAAATACTATGTTTGATTTTTTTTTCAGAGCTACATTGGGCCAATGGAGAAAAAAGTTAGTTTTCAGATTCTAACTTTGAGCAGCTGTAGATTTTGAAGGAAGGAACCATGGTACTTTTTAAACACATTAAAAGTTTTGTTTTTTCATGTACTTATAAGAAATGCATTTAGTTGATAGGTCATTTTTGGACCTATCAACTCATTTCTGATATGACCCCTATACATACGATACTTCCATACTCTCATTCACCATACATTAATAACAAATACAAATACAAGTACAAAAAATAATTTCTTAATTACTCTTCCATTCACCTTTAGCTTCCTCCTCTCTTTTCTTTCTCACCAATCTATCTACAACTTTTTCCTTATTTACTGCTTCAGCACTTCCCTCATGTTTCATAATCTCTTCAACCTTCCATACTTTATCAACTATTTTTTTTCATTTTTCTTCACTTCTGCGCACTCATTAAACAAATGCAATACACTACTATCCTTGCTTTCACACAGAATGCAGTTTCCTCCTCCTTTTTCCAGAACCTATTCCTCTCTCAATATTCTTCTTTTAAAGTCCCCTTTGCACTTCTTTTCTCCTAGACTCCATGTGCTTTTTGCTGCTACCATTCCCTTCTTCCTAAATTTTTCTACTTGCCTCTTGAAGTTACCTTCTGCGTTCATAACAACTCCTAGATATTCGAACTCTCTCACCTCTTCTAAAAATTCTTCCTTCCATTTCCATTTTTCCACTATTTGATTCCTTTTTTTGTTGAAAATCAGTACCTTCGTCTTTTCCACACTCAATATCAGTTGTTTTTCTCTGAAGAACTTCTCTGTACTCTTCAGCATATCCAGCATCGCTTCTCTATTTTTGGCCAGAAGCACTACGTCGTCTGCGTACGCCAATGACCAAATTCTTGTCCTACCTATTTTCACTCCTTCTACATTTCCTTCTTCATAATACAAATAGATACAAAACAGTATCGGGTTCAAAATACATCCTTGCCTCACTCCTTTAACCGTCCAAAATTCTTCCGACATTTCCATTTCCCATCTTACTTTTCCTTTCGTTTCTTCGTAGAGCTGTTTAATCCTTTCTATTAAATAGTCGCTTATTCCTACTCTACCCATACATTCCCATAACTTTTTCCTATTAACTGTATCAAACGCCTTTTTTAAATCTATGAATGTCGCATAGATCTTTGCCTTTTCTTTCTTAGCCTTTTAGATTATATATTTCATCGTGTACAGATTGTCCATTGTCGATCTTCCTTCCCTAAATCCTGCTTGTCCTTCTGGTTAAATTTTAATTCCTCTAATTATTTCTGTATATATCTTATATGCCGTTGGCAGAAGCGAAATTCCTCTGTAATTACTTGTATTATTAACATCTCCTTTTTTATAAAGTGGCACAATGACTGATGTTCTCCAGTCCTCTGGAATCTCTTCATCTGCCCATATCCTATCTAAAACACTTTTGAATTTACTCCTTAGTTTTCCACTGTTACTCCATGCTTCGTTCTGTATTCCATCAATTCCTGGTGCTTTTCTCTTCTTCAGCCTTCTTATTACACTGTTATATTCTTTTTCTCCTATTTTTTCTCCCTCTTCTCTCACCACCTTTCTTCCTTCTCCTTTTTGACACATCTCTGAGCCTTCTAGCAGTTCCATGAAACTTTTTTTCCACTCCTGACTCTTTATATTGCATCCAATCTTCTGTCCTTTGTTTCTTCTTTTTCCTAGGAATTTCCACACCTGCTCCTCAGTCTTCAAACTTCTCAGCACTGCTTCTTCCTTTTCCTTGAAACACATTTCTTTTTCTATGCATAGTTTCCTCCACTGTTTTCTGCTCTCCACGTACTGCTCTCTGCTCACTTCTTCTTCTGTCCACTTTCTGTACATGACTTTAACTTTCCTTTTTTCTTTACCACACTCCTTGTCCCACCATCTCTTCATCCCTATCTTCCACTTTTTCACTGTGACTTCTTTTTTGACTAGAGCCTTGTCCACCATCTCTGATATTTCTTTCCATTCCTCGTCAACTTTACTGCATCTCAGCCGTCTTCTTCTTTCTTTGCCAATTCCGCCTTTATATTTTCTTGGTATTTGATGCTGTCTTCTTCTGTCCATGATGCATACTCCCTCTTCTCCACCACCTCCTTACTCACTTTTTCCTTATTCCTATACTGCTCATATAACACTGCCACCAGCGGTTGATGATCAGACTCCGTCCTTTCGCCTACTTCAAATTCAATCACGTCCTTCCACACATCTTCATTCACAATCACATAGTCGATTACTGATACTCCTCTGGGGCCTATGCATGCGAATTCTCCTTCCTCGTCTCTGTCTGTATTGCCATTTAAAATATTCCATCCTTTATTGCACATCACCTCAATCATCAGCTTTCCTTCATTGCCAATTTTCTTGTCCTTACTTTTCCTCATTTTTCCTTCTCTTTCATAGAATCCACTGTTTCCTTCCTCACCAACTCTAATGTTAAAGTCACCACCTATTATCACCTTATTCTCTTCGTCTCCTTCCAAGTTTTCAAAATATTTCCATATCTCTTTTAGGTCTCCTTGGTTATACACTGAGTACACATTTAATTCATTTCCTATGGACACTTTCACCGTTCTTTCATTGATTATTTTCATTTCATTTACCTTTCCCTCT